GGATATCCATGCGATGCATATACTAAAATACAAGGAATACATGAGAGAGATGAGGTCCATACCAATAATAGGGTAACATTTCAAAGAAACCAAAACACACAAACAAAACAAAAAACCCACTGCATGCACAATCACCCAAAAACCCACACCCACCAACTTAAGCTTGTTCCTCTGATTCGACTCTAACATTGTCAGGCTCAAACTCCATGTGAACAGAAATTCCAAGTGGACTACGCAGAGGTATAATGCCATAACTATATTTTTAGACACATGCAGTAACTGTGTTACAGAGCAGCTGATTAGGAAATTGGTGCTTGACTCAGTCCTGAGTAGTATACAGAACACCACAGCTTGGATGAGGTAACCAGGGACCTCTGGAAATCACCTAGACCAACCTCCTTGCTCAAAACAGGATCAGCTAGAGTACATTGTTCAGAGCAGTATCCAGTCAGGTTTTGAATACCTCCAAGGATGGAGACTCCACAACCCCACTAGGCAACCCATTCCAAAGTTTGACCACCCTCTCAATAAAAAAAAAAAGTCCTCTCTCAAATTTAAACAAGATGACACGTATTTCAATTTGTACCTATTGCCTCTCATCCTGTCACTGGACACCACTGAGAAGGCTCTGGCTCCATTTTCTTTACTCCCTCCCATCAAGTATTTACCTAGTGAGATAAAGTCCCCTGAGACATCTCTCTATTCTCTCAGCCTCTCCAAATATGACAGATGCTCCTATGCCTTAATCATCCTCATGGCCCTTCACTGGCCTTCCTCCAATACGTCCATCTCTTTCTTGCAATGGGGAGCCCCAAGCTGGATCCAGCGCGGCCTCACCGCTGGTGCCGAGTAGAAGGGAAGGATCACCTCCCTCAACCTGCTGGCAGCGCTCTTCCTAAGGCAGCCCAGGATGCCGATGAGCTTGGCCGCGAGGAGGCATCGCTGGCTCACGTTCAACTTGCTGTCCACCACGACGCCCAGATCCTTCTCTGCAAAGCCGCTTTGCGGTCAGCCCGCCCCCAACCTCTGCTGGCGCGCGGGGCTATTCCTCCCCAGACGCAGGAGTCTGCGCTTCCCCTGTTTCCACTTCATGAGCTTCCTCCCTGGCAATTTCTCCAGCCTCTCGAGGTCCCTCTGACCGGCAGCGCCAACAACTGCTTTAGCGGCCACTCCTCCCAGGTCTGCATTGTCTGCACACTTGCTGAGGGTACCCGCTGCCCCACCACCCACACCATTAACAAAGATGTTAAACAGCACTGGCCCCAGGATCGACCCCTGGCGGGCACCTCTCCGGACTGGCCTCCAGCTGGACTTTCTGCCGCTCCTCATGGCCCTTTGAGCTTGGCGATTCAGCCGGTTCTCAGTCCGCCTCACCGTCCTCTTATCTAGCCCACACTTCACCAGTTTGTTCTATGAGGATGTCGTGGGAGACGGTGCCGAAAGCCTCACCAAAGTCAAGATGAACAATACCCACTGCTCTCCCCTCCTCCACCAAGCTGGTCATTTCACCACGGGAGGCTAGCAGGAGGGTCAGCCGTGATTTCCCCTTCATAAATCCACGCCGACTACTCCCAAACACCTTCTTGTCGCTCATACGTTGGGAAAGGGGTTCCAGAATGAGTCGCTCCATCCCCCTCCCAGGGATCGGGGGGAGGCAGACCAGCCTGAGTCATGTCCTCAGGAACCTCCCCGGATGGCCAGGACTTTTCAAAGATCATCGAGAGAGATGACATCAGCCAGCTCCCTCAGCCCCCATGGGTGCACCACAGCGGGTCCCGTGCACCCATCTATCTCCAGTTTGTTTAAACGTTCTCTAATCTGATTCTCCTCCTCCACCGAGGGCAAGTCTTCCTCGCCCTGGAGTTTCTCACTGGTCCCCGGGGCCTGGGATTGCCGAAGGCTGCTCTCACCAGTAAAGAGCACAGTGAAGAAGGCACTGAGTACCTCAGCCTTTTCGGTGGCCTTTGCCAACAGGCTCTTGGCCCCATTCAGTAGCAAGTCCACATTTTCCCTAGCCTGCCTTTTGCTGCCCATATACCTGCTGCCCTTCTTGTTGTCCTTCATGTCCTTTGCCAGATTCAACTCCAGGGCAGCTTTGGCTTTCCTAACCCTGCCCCTGCACACTTCTAGGTCACTTGTCCCTGCTTCCACCTTTTGCATGCTTCCTTTTTTTGAGAGAGTTTAGTCAGAAGCATCTTGTTCATCCAGTAGGCCTCCTGTCACCTCTGCCTGACTTCCTGCATGTCGGGACAGACCATTCTTGAACTTGGAGGAAGTGATCCTTAGGAAGTGATCCTTGAAAACCCATCAGCTCTTCTGGACTTTTTGTCCCCATGACCACATTCCCAGGGGATTCTTCTAGCCAAATCCCTAAAGAGGCCAAAGTCTGCTTTCCTGATGTCCAGGGTTGTGATCCTGCTTTTTGCCCTGTTCCCTTCTCTTAGGATCCTGAACTCCACCTGTCATCGTCACAGTAGCCAAGACTGCCCTGACTTACCTCCCCAAACATTTCTTCCTTGTTCAATTTAAGGCCCAAGAGATCCCCTCACTGGCTCCTCAGTCGCCGCGATCAGGAAGTTACCATCAATGCTCTCCAAAACCCTCCTGAATTGCTTGCATCCTGCTTTGTTGCCCTGGTTCAAACATAAGAGTTTGAATTCTACAATAATAAACCTAATCACTCAGACTGAACATTTATGTGTCTCTTTGATTGCTTCCACAAGTCCAAAGTTGTGCTATATTTCCAAAAGGGGAATCATATTAAAATGGAACAATCTCTTCAAAACCAGTTGATAGTTCAATTCTTGCAGATGGCATGGAAATATTTCAGGATATTGTACTGGGGGCATCGGCACTGAATAATCCTATTTTAACAATATGGATTTGAGAAAAAGCAAAAGAAAGCTAGCATGACTAAGTAGCAAGATTAGGGAGATTAGAAGAGAGCACCTGTAAAAAAGCTGAAGATACATCAGAAGATAGAGAACACCACACTACAGCAAGGTAAAAACACAGTAAGATAGGCCAGAAGGTGTCTGCACAATTCAAAGACTATCAAAACCACTAATAAATTTTTCTCAAAACACATCAGTAATGATGCTTGCCAGTGTCTGTAGGACCACAGCATTTGAGGAGAATCTGGAGCAGAAAGTCACAGCAGAAAAACTTATAATTTGCTCTGTAGTAGCTGTGGAAAAAATTGAGGTGGTTCCCACAGTGGAGATGGAAGTTGTAGAGGTTACAGAGCAAACAGAAAAAAAAATGGACAGAAGCAAATCACCAAGGTCAGATGATACTCACTCAGCAGTTCTAAAGAAAGTCAAGGCTGAAACAGCAGAGTTACTGACTGTGATACAGTTCATCTCAAAATCACACTGGAACCCAATCGTTTGAAGGCAGCAGATTTTTTGAAATTGCCAGTTTTCAAGTCTTGAAGGGATGATTCAGGCAACTATATCCTTGTAGGTCTAAGTCTTGTATGTCTGAGGCAAATTAGCAGAAAGAAGAGAATTAGGAACACGTAAATATAAGATTAGGGAAGAGTCAACATAGCTTTTACAAAGGGAAATCACACCTTAAAAGCTTACTGGAATTCCTTGAAGGGGTTCATAAGCATGGAAATCTAGATGGTAGCATTCCACTGGATTTTCAGAGGTCTTCTGACAAGATCTCTTGGCACAGGCTTTCAAGGAATCTCAACAGCCACAAAACAAATGAGAAGATTCCTGCATGGATAAATATTTAGCTATAAGGTAGAAAAAAAAAGGGACTAGTTGTTCAACTTTCCAAGTGGAAGGAGGTCACCAGTGAGTCCACCATGACCTGCCCTGTATAGTACATCTTTAAAAAATAAATGACCTAAAAAAGGAGCAAAAAACTTTTAACCAAAATTTTGCAAACAATACAAACTTATTCAAGGTAGTGACCTTCTGAGACCAAGTGATCCGGTATTAAAACTAATTAAATGTTATGTAGACAAATCCAAGTGATACAGTAATAACAATTCTATCTTCACATATAATAGGCTCCAAACACCCCAAAAGTAATCAGAGCAAGACATTCAGGTTATAATTGCATAAAAACATCAGTTCAGTGCTCAGACACAATGAAATAAAGCAATTTCAATATTAGGAATTACTGAGAAAGGAATAAAGAACGAATCTGAAAACAGCACTGTGACACTGGATAAACTGCAGGGCATATCTGCATCCTATTTCAAAAAGAGCTTATAAGAACTAAAATTGTTTTTCAGGCAAGATCAGCAAGGACAATCTCATGTATGAAATGGTTTCTGTAAGAGGAACAATCAAATAAACAAAGGTCTTCAGTCAGCAAAAGAATTTACACGAGCTTTATGTATGTCTGTTACCACCATCAGGTGGCACACACGGTGAATAAGGATCCGTTGTTCATTGTGTCTTCAAACACCAAAGCCAGAGGCATTTAATAAACATAGGTCTCTACAACATGCTATGCGAATTGCACAATATATTATCTTACACCCATATCAACCATTGATCAAGTTTCCGGATTCATTTGGTATCAAGACTCTGAAAGACAATTGTATTTAAATACATCACACAGTTGAGAATTAATTACCAGCGCAGAACTTTTGTTTCTATTAACCACTAGCAGAAGTCTCTGAAAAAAAATGACGATGAAGATTCTCATATCTTCAGACATGCTTCAAAACTGACAAATGCACACTGAGGAACGTTCGACTGGTTTAAGAGACAAGAGCTCTTCACTTGTCAGCATTCTTTAAGAAATATCCAAATCATTTTGTTTACCAAAGGTAGTCATAATGTTACCTTTTCACATACATTCTATTATTTTTTTAAAATATCAACATGAGGAATAAGATAGATAACTTCCAAGTATGCAACAAGTGCAAGACATGCATACTGGCGTGCTCTGATATCTTCCAGAGCAGCAATATTCAAGACATTCCGTTCTTCAAGCTGGCAGCATAATCAAAGATAGAGAGAGATCACAATTCATACAGGCCAATATTTTATTGATATCTAGAATATTAGCTACCTCACAAATGTATGAATTTACGATGTCTATTCAAGTTTAAACGATTTCTTACCTTTTCTCAGCTGAGATGTATTTGATAATATATTAGGATTATTTCTTCAGTAGCAATGAAATATTTTGCCTTCTCCTCCCTCTCCTTAAATCCAAGTCATCAAATAGTCTTAAGTATATTTTTTACTCAACCAAAACTCCAGAGAAGCTGTACTACCCTTAGAGGCCATACATGATGTTCTTCAAAACACTAATGCATGTTAGGACGCATTTCATTAACGGCCAGACTACGTAACTAACATCACGCAACCTCATATCAGTCAAGATAGCACACTGGCTCATTTAGTTAATCTTCATTAGAAACAGATGATTAGCTCTAGCAACAAGGCTTTCAAAATATTATTTCACAGGCTTCAAAGGATAAGGACAGTTTAATGAAAATAATTTAAAGACATCTAAATATGAATTTAAAACACCCATGAATTCTTAAGACTTGGAAAATACTATCTCAGTGAAGATTTCTAGTCTGCCTGCCATTTTTTATCAGTGGGGAAACAATTAAAAAAAGGGGATCAAAAACACCAGTTGTTACTTCGTAAGAAAATACCACCAGAGGCAAATACACATGAATCTTCTTTTAAAATCTGATTTTATATGAAGTCTAGTCATCAAATTTAATCCTTTTCCCTTGGAATGCTGTAATTTGAGACATTTGTTCCCGACGTTTCTTGCTTGCTTCCCACGAAGGATGAAGAGGCTGCTCCAAACATGCTTTTTTATTTTTGCCTTTAGTACCTGCAGCTTCAGCAAATTGATGTTTCTTGAGCTGCGGTTCCTTTTTAGGAAAAGCTGTACAGGGAATACAACATAAAACATTAACTACATCATAAACATTCATAAAAAACGTGCTAGGAGTACCTTACAAAGGTAGACATTTACAAGAATTTTCTAATGAGACACAGGTAACATTCATCTGAGCGTTTAAAGGAAATTACTAAGATAGGTTTCCTCATCTTGCAGTCCAATAAATTGTCACTTGGTAGATTGCAGACACTTAAGATTTATTACTACTGACCACATGCAAAATTTGTGTAGACTAATATTCACCACAATCTCTACTTTTTTTCCCTGTGCATCAAGCTAATGAGGAATTACACAATATCACTCAATATGACTGAAACACTCTTTGGTTTAATGAGTTTAAAAAAAAAGGAACCATATACTGCAAGTGGAGCAAAATATTGAAGGCGTTAAATTACTACTTGCAGGCTAAACTACATGTTATAGTTAAATGTCATAACCTGACAGCCTTGTTTGTGCACAGGTTTGTGCACTAACTGCTCAATAAAGACAGATAGAAAAGCACTGTCCCTTGTGAACCCCACTTTAAATATTTTTAATATTCCAAAATAGGAAATAGCAGCAAGCAATATCCACAGGTTAAAGTTCAACAATTTTACCCTTTTAACAAATGGTAAAATGCATGCCACAACACCAACACAAAACAAAAAATAACGTATTGTGATTAGACTACAGAAGTAACAAAATCAATGTGTTTTCACACTCATGATTTTATCAGATTAAATAATACATACCTGTTCTTCTGTTTTTGAGAGGCTGGTCTTCAGCATTTCTAAAAATAAAAACGTTATTTAGGAATTTTCATGAAATTAGTAAAATGATAAACACTTGCAAATAAAGAGTGCTCATCAGGTGGTCAAAATGACTTTAAGCATGATAACATGTAAAAACCACATGTTTTCCCTATTTGTTAAAAAAGCACTAAAAATAGAAGTATTTGATGTGATTAAATTTAGATATAAATTTACTAAGGAATCCTAAATATATTTCAGGGTTCACATGAACGTAAAAAATGCATGAATGTCAACAACACACAGACTAAAGTGTGGGTTAAGTGAAAACATTTTAAGCCGTAATTGGCTGAAGTTCTGCTTGCTCGCTAAGAGCTACTTTAAAAAAAAAAAAAGAGATAACAACAATTTCCATTACTGGGAGGAAACCAGGAACAGAGAACAAAACAAGCGAAAATGTTTACCTTCTATTTTGGGATTTCTGATTAGGGGTAGACAGAGAACTGCAGAACACTGATTCTAGCTTCCTTGCTTTGGCATGCGGCTTTCCTTCTTCTCCAATCAAATCTTGCACTGTCCTAGGCGTTGTGTTCTTTTCTTTCTTCGGGACTTTTTTCTGCAGTTTGCTTTTCTCATTTATTGAAGAAAAGTCACAAACTGCTGCTATCTTTTTCTTTCTTTTTACTTTGCCAATGAAGAAATCATCATTGCTATCACTGTCAGAGTCCGACGTCTGATTATAAAACCTCTCTTCAGTACTATCATCAAAGTACTCCTCTTCGTTAAGTTGTCCCAGGTCTCTAGCACCACTGACTGATTCTTTTTTTGCAGTGAATTTGTTCATGCTTATAGTTTTTTTCCTTTCTGGAGGATCAAATTTCTTCCCTATTTTATTCTGAGCAACTGCTTGCCCTTCTACTGCCTGTAATGAAGATTGTTTTGGAGCATAAGCTTTCTCACTCTCCACAATTTTCTGCTCATAATCACTCTCACAAAGTTCTTCATTCTCTGTGTTAGTTCCTATTTTCATACTCATTTTTGTTTTGTCTTCACATCCTTGCTGTTTTTGAACTACTTTAAGAACTTGGTCACCCACATCACTATTGCGATGTTGTGCCGACTTGAGGTGTTCTTCTGATTTATCCTTTATTGAAAGATGGGTTTTGGCCGGTTTCTTTCTTGCATCCTTAAAAGCTTTTACAGCAGCTATAAAAAAGGCAGAAAAATATCTTCTGTTGCACTTTCATGCATGACAGTACATGTATTATCTTAACAAAACATTTTTGCAAGTTAAATTTATTGTATTGAGTAAATATTTTGCATGCCTGTCTATCATTTACTGAGCAGATGGGGGCGAAGAATGCATTAGGTACAATGTCAACAAAAGTGGGGAAAACAGCTTGAAATTATTACTGAGTCAACACACTGTTTTTGAACTTAGGTTTAACTGCGAGCTCATCTTTCAACAAGTAATCTGCAGTTTATAACCATGATCACTTAGGGCAATACCTTGTGTGAAAAATCTGCAAACAAATAGTAAATTGCTTAAATATTATTAAATGGGTATTTGACATAAGTTCCTTATTAACTAAGCAACTTCATGACATTATCACTAGGACTTCATCCTTTTTAACATCAACTTTCATTGGAATATTTGAGTTTACAGAGAAGAGTAGATATCTTAAAGAACCAGGAACGATTCCCCAAGGACCTCAGGGATAGTTTCCAAAGAAGCTTGATGGAGTTATTTGTGAAGTCTTTTAGATCTCTTTGAAAAATACAGCTGCAATGGTCCTTTTACCATTGTATCTACTTGTTACTAGTCTCATTGCCAGTTCGGTTTTACTTATGTTTGAGATATTCCAGTACATCCATTGGCTTTTTAGAATTCCCATTATGAGTCTTGTTTGTCCTACAGTCCATATCTTAAAATGGAAGGGCATACTGTCCTACATGAGCCCGTTTCAACCAATATAGATGACTACAAACAGATACTCAGTTCACTGAAGCTAGTTAAGGTAGTAACAGGAGCCAACATACTTTTCGTGTGTTCATGTTGGGAATATACAGGAACAAGGTAACATCCCAGTAAGCTACAGGGTTATAAGAAAGTTAGCATACTATTTCATACCTTTGAGGTCAGCAATTCTGGATTTCAAGATGGGGTGTGTTGCAAGTCTTGCAATGGCTCGCTCAGTCGCGGTAGAATTTGGCTTTACATAAAAAGATTAAAAGGAATGAACTCAACGGAAAAGTGAAGACTTACATAGTTCTGTATAAGTTAGGCTACCACGCATACTAAAGCGATTCTGGACCAGTGACTGAAGAAGAGGACAAGCTTGTGACACTATCACGCTTCAATATATCTTAGTTTTCCCATATTGCCGCAACTCTGAATGAGGAAAAATCTGACTGCACAAATATTGACAGAAAGAAAACAGGCATGTACTTCTGCAATTTCTCAGTTACTGAAGAGATATAACATGATTTTTATATTAAATGTATACTACACCACATCTGTCAGGCCCATTCATTGATATTTATGTGTGTAAAGCAAACTTACGAACCTCCTGAAAAGAAAATCAAATTGATAAAAAACACATTCGATGGTAATAAATAAAGCAGCTTGTGAGTAGAGCAGTTCAGATGCCTTTAAAGCTGGCAACACGACAGAGCAGATACTGAAGGACTGTCCAGTAAGTGTGGGTAAAGTAAGGGAGAAAGTTAAATCTGATCTTGAAGACAAATAAGTTTGAATTTGATGTGGTAGAATATGGGAGCTCTGCAGACTCAAAGATCAAGCGTTATCTTAATGCTTTAATTTGAAGAAAAAGGAGAGGAGAGGAATTCCTTCCCTTTCTGACTTCCTCTCTTCTCTGTTAAGAGTCACAGGTAACTACATATTGGAAAAGCTATTTCAGTTTGAGGTTGTCACCACTTTGCTTAAAGAGCAAAATGAGCAGTATATGGGATGACTTCAAAGATATTTTTGTCTTCTTTTTTGAGGGGAGCGGGAAGGGCGTGTACAGGCTTGTAAAACATAAATTCAGCGAGAAAGTTTCTTAAAGCCTGCAATAGAATTCTTTGGGAGAGAGAATGGGGGGGAAAAAAGAAGAAAGAAGGGGAGAGCGAGCGACCGACCAACCTTCCCCCGCTCCTGCAAGCGAACAAGCACAACCTAGCACATCAGCAACGCATGCTCAAAGTATTTATCTGCTTGATACAAGAGTGCTTAATGGGGAATCTTATTAGGCTACATGGACTTTTCCTCCAAGGCAGTCTTCCATTTAATATAAACAGTTACATAATCCTCGGGTAGAGACGGACACTTGATGCCAAGCGCTGAGGTAGGAGACTGTTTCAGTGCTTGGCTTTGAAGGATCCTGAAACTTGGATTCTTACACGTTTCTGCTAAATTTCCTAATAATGAAGGCACTATACCAGAAGTGGTCTTTTCTAAATGCAGAAGTGTTAAACTTGGGGCACAAACGTAAGTCTTTTCTCAACCAATACAAAGCAAATTTAACATATATATATTTTTAACCTTAGCTCTAGACCTTACAAAATATATTCTGGAATATGTTCATTCATATTTCATGTTTGATATGCAGAGCATCTGGGAATGCTAGTACTTTCCTTTCTCCTCAAGTCCTGTTATTGCACGATTATTTCTTCAGGTCAAGAAAAACTGGAAAACTGTTTCCTCTGTAGGCTGCCTACATTGGCCAGTGGAGATGGGTCCAAGAGATGGGTCCAGTTCCAAGGGGCCATAGACTGGCTTACTCCCAGGCTAGTCTAGCTTTGCAAACTTGGAGTTTGAACTTTGATTCCCATGTGACAGTCCAGCATGCTACAACCAGATTCCTGGGACAGCAAGCTCATATTTCTGAAGATCAAACAATATTTTCTTTGGAGATTTTTCTATAACTGGAAAATGTATTTCTGAACTTAATTAATATACTTTTTCCCTTCAGCTACTTCCTGTGGGTTTTGAAAGAATATACCATAAAGTTCAGAAAGCAGCAGCAGCTTCTGTGCAACATCTGGTGTCCTTTAAGTCAAGTATTTATAGAAAGGGCTTAAGCATATACATGCCAATTCATATGGAATAGCTACATTTTTCCCTTACAGCAAAATACTTCACAAACACTATTCATGCTAATAGACAGCAGCCAACAAACATACAATGTGACATTCACATTCTTAAAAACTTCCCATTTTTCTGTTCTTTGGCACATCCAATGTTAAACTCATTTTTCCTTAAGTATTTTCCAGCACATAAAACATTGTCAGAAAATAAAACGTAGTAGAAAAATGTCAACTTTATCTACAGCAAGAACAAAATCCTCCCCCTCCCCACCCCAAAAAGTTTGTATACGCAGATACTGGGATTGTAAATATTTATTCTCACAAGTCCATGCTACTGACTGCATTATTTTGCACTGATACTTGTTTTTCATGCAAGAATGTCCTAATACTTTCTATAGGAACTCTCTTCCTCATTCAACATCCAAGTGAGAAGCTGCAAAACGAACAAAGCAACTGAGTATTGAATATTCACACTTTCCAGTGAAAGGTTTTAAGCTACCTACAGAGGAACCTGAAAGTCAAAGTTTCCTTCAACTTTTTGTGTTGGTAAGCGGTGCATTATTTCAGCATATAGTACTAAAGACGCCTATGTGTCATCACCACCATGTTTCGTTAAAACTCTATGTGGACATTTAACAGAACTGATCGCACCAATCTTTGTATTCTCGAATCTCTCAAAGTTAAAAAAGTTTGCATAAACAAGCATTTCTCACCCTGAATGCAAGATGTTGACAGAAGCACAAACCTCAAAACATAACCTGTCAGTTATAGCACGATAAGATAGCACGTGTATAAAGAAAGATAGATCATACTTTTATTTCAGTCTGCAATTATTCTTGTACAAGCAGCGATTGCCTGGCCACAGGTCTCACCTGATAGAACTACACAGACAGCTACTAGAATTTCAGCTAGAACACAGCACAGTGCTGCCAAATGGGTAATGCCTGGTGGCCCTGCATCTGTCACTTTAAATAATCTGTTAACTTAAATAATGATATTCAAACGAAGCCAGCTAGAAACCCCACAGGTAAGTATATGCTATGTAGTACACAGCAGAACATATCACACAAAAAAACCCAACCTCGAAGCATGTCATATTCAAGTTTCTAAATTAACTGTAAAGGCAGTCTAACATAAAGAGCGTAACAGCAATCCCAAATTCCCAGCCAAAACAAGACGTCATTGCAATACCCCTTGCAGCAGCTTAAGGCAGGAGCTATTTCTCTACTAACCATACAAAAAACTTATTAATCCATATGCTCTCCCTAGAGCTGTAACTAGTTACAGCTGTCCTTCATAATAGCAGCAAAATTGTGGTTAATGGAAAGTGAAGGTGCTAAATCACAGCTGCTGTCCAAGTCTGTCCCATGATCCCATACTGCTTTAGCTCCATCCGGCTTTGGAATAAGACCCTTGAGAAGCAGTCATTTTCTGACTGTGATGTCTCCCCCTTTATGTCTGTAAGACACACGGTATGGGACTTGGGCTATCAGCCCAAATGAGACTTTAGTGCAACAGGCACTCAGTTGTTGATACCATTTGTAGCAGCAGATCGTCTCACACCTCCTGGCAGGGAGACGCCGTTTGCTGACTGGGTCCCCCTCCACAGTGGGAGGATGGATCAAGTAGAGAACGCGTGAAACAGATCTCTGTTGGATGTGGAGGGAGACCCGCTCTCTTTTTAACTCCTAAATACAGCAATAACAGGGAGGACTCAAACAGTACGTACGAGAAAAAAAACATCAGCACTAAACGCTTCAGATTCTGCGCTGGAAACGCAGATATCGTCAGACTTTTACTCAACTGAGTCAGTCCCCCCAATTTTCCATGTAACATCAGAAGGATAGCTAGGGATGATGGCATAGATTATGAAGGATAAACCTATAGCAACACAGGTGGGAAGTCCTCTTACAGCAATTAATTCAGTATGAATCTCAAGGCAAGTTTCAACATATTTTTTGTTAAATGGACTGCACTTTTTTTTTTTTTTGAACAGACTAAGGAAAAATTGCAAAACACACATCCAACAGATCTAATACCTTTGTGACAACTTGGCAGGAAATGTCTTATAGTAGAAGCTTTACTGACCAATTTCACATTTGTGCATCAGGATACACAAATAACCCTGGAACCCCCTTCTTGGCCTCCTGTTTCTTGTTCTTTTCACCACTAGGAAAAGCTTGTCACAGTTTATACGAGTTTGCATCAGTTTGTCTCATCAAGGTAATTCTATGAGGAAAATATCTGGAGATGTACTTTATCTATCTTGCAAGTATTACAGGACTTGAACATCCACAGCAACATGGGGTGCTCTGTACTATTTTTTAAGTTCATCTGCAGGTACTACACACACGTGCGTGCAGGCACACAGGCAGAGCTTTGGAGAACGGCCTAGCTGACCTTGTACTGATGACAGTAACGTCGACTGGCGTCTCGTCACCGACTTTTGTGGAGGTTTCAGGAGGAAGCATTTAATTCTTCTAACTATTGTGGAGGTGCTTATACTGTTCTAATTCTGTTTGCCTGTCTGGATCAAAGCTATCCTTTTCCCCATAATTTGTTCATTTAGATTTACCTCCACGCCTACATCCAGTTTGGCGTGTCTTTTCTCTTATTAAAAAGGAGCACGATTCTATTATTTCTATTGTTGTCTCTTCCTTTAAAATGAAGAATTCCAAAATATGTCAGAAATTCAAATGAAAATCAGATATCCTTTTGTTCTCTCCTCCATGCGTGATGAAAAATACCTTCTGTCCAAGCAGTTTAAAAAGTCCAAAAGCCCTTTAAGAAGTTGAATACAGCACTTTACAAGTGCTACAAAACTAAGTTTATTAGGCATATAAAAGAGTCAACAGGGTTTCTCTGGATTAACCTGTCACAACTAATTTAGCCAACCATACAATTCTATGAGGCAAATACTTACTTTTGAGACTGGGAAATGGTCAAAAAGAAATGGAGCATTTCATCCCAACTGCCATAGCGGTCTACAGCAGAGCTTGGCATAAAACCCCTACCTGCCGAAGCATAAATTATGCACTTCGCCTGCTACTAATTCTTTCCTTTTTTTTAATCCCTAAAATCACTGCTACAATTGTTTCAATTAAAAAAAAAAAAACAACTGAGA